ATTCTCTAGATTATGAAAGTGGTAAGATTTGCACACTAATATTCAGGACACTCTTAGAAAAAAGGTACTAAGCTGTCACTGTCGCTCTTGTCACTGGGATGGTACCCACCATCAAGGGTAACATTAGTTAGGGAACACAATTGTACCATAATCCATTGCAGTTATATTTTTTGACTCCACACACCTTGTCCTATCTCCAGGTTTTTATTTTATCGTTCTGTTTTATGGTAATGAAAAGGTAAAACTATATACCATTTCCCTAAGAAAAAACTTACGGCTACATTGTTTGTACATTTATGATTGAAAAATATACCTGAACAGTATCTATTTCCTGATATAAATTTGATGGCATAACAGACAAATATTAGATATTTCAATTGCATATAGTGAGTGTTTAAATAGTACTTTTGTACTGAAAGAAGAAGTGTGCAAAAAACTATTTAGGTTACATTAAAATGAAGCTGGGAAGAAACCTGCAAATTTGACTCTTGAACAATTGTCAGCGTGTTGTTCACAGTGTGTGCTTGACCCAGTTGTTGAGTGTTTACACAATACTGGGAAGTGGCAAGTCTGTAGTCACTAGGGTAACAGCCGTTTTCTCCTCTCGTGGGGATTTTAGGAGTAAACGCTATAAAGTATTTTTCTTGGGTCCTTGGAGGCTTGTGCCCATGGCCCTGGGTTTTTTAAATGTGTCCTTGCTGCTCATTGTTCAGTGACCTTCTTAAAATATGATGCACGAAACGACCCTGAGCCAGAACTGCGGATGTAAAATGTGATTTGAATAACATAATTTTTTCAGAGATAATTGGAGCTTGAGAAATGCTATTGATATTTTTCTTTTTTATGTTTAAGAACATACAGGTACTAGACATCAGACACAATGATCTGAACCCACCAGGAGGTAGAAGGTAGCTCATCCATGAAGAACAGCTTCACCAAGTAGGCTTGTTAGTGCTGTTCTTCAAAACATACTTATGGTATGTTCTTTGAAACAAGCTCATAAGCACCGCTTTCATGCTTTCGTGCAGTAGCTGCCTCTTACGCACTGTCTGTCACATTGGGCTTAGCTACAGAAGTGCTAATTCCACTTTGCTAGGATCAGACGTCTCATTATTTCTGATAGAGTATATTGTGCTCGAAGAACATGCACTGCAAAGAGAGAGATAGAGAGAGCGAGAGAAGTGGGCCAAAGTGGTGTACACTTTCAGAAATTAAGGTTCCTGAATGGTTCTTGGCTTAGAATGTGCAGTTCTAGGAAAATCTTGAATAGCTATAGAACCCTCATAAAATGTGGAAGTTCTTCAAACTTTACTAAAGGTTTCCTTACATTTAGACAATGTTTCTTTAGGGAACATTAAGGGAACATTAAGGGAATCTTCTGTAGCAGTGATGGCCATACTTTCTGGGTTGGTGGGCCAATATATATTGTTTGTGGTGGGCCAGTGGTCAAAAACAGAAAACAACTAGTCAGTTTGCTAGCCTTACGTGGACACATTTGGGCCATGTGTGCTTCCATAATGTTGTTAAATAATATTTGTTTTTGAATTTTCCTCACTTTTTTAAAAATAAGAGTTTGATATAGGCTAGTATATAAACTTTGTTAAAGTTTCAAAATGTGCTGTCTACTCTCCAGTCAGTCTCTTCCATATGTAAAAACAACTTGTTTTGAGCTCACTGTTTGTGTGAAGTCATGAAATTCAGTGCATTTGCATACATCCATCTATTCTGCCTACTGCAGTTGAGCCCCACACTGAAGTTCGAAAGAGTGTTTCAGCCTGAACTGCTTTTTAAATGAGCCAGCCAGTCAGAAAAGAGGGCATTTACATATAACTGCTTGAAAGGCACAGAAACAAAAACAGCTTGTTTAATTGTATTGGATGAAGAGAGGCCATGTAAAATGAATTGGGACTGTTTTTAATACATTACATTACAGAAACATCACAAGTGGACGGATACAAGAGAAAATGTAGGATATAGGCCCTTTAATACTCATTTAAAGTACACAATTTGCTAAACTTGCGAAAGTTTTAAAACATACCATTCATTGCCCTTTCCGTACAGTCCATATATCTAAACAAATCTGCAAAATGTCCCATTTTAAATGTAGTGTTTCTGTGATGTAATGAAAACCAGCTCGCTGACATTTCCTCCTCTTAAGCCTACAGTGGTTTACCCCTGCCTATTCTCATTGAAGTTACAAGGAGTGTTTCAGCCCAGAATGCTTTTCGAATGAGGCCCAATACAGGGCAACCAATCAGAACAAAGATACACTATATGGATAAAAGTACTGGGAAATCTATACATTACATCTACATGAGTTTTCATGACATCCCATTCTAAATCCATAGGCATTAATATGGAGTTGGTCCCCCCTTTGCAGCTGTAACAACTTCCGCTCTTCTGGGAAGCTTTCTGCAAGATTTTGGAGTGGGTCTGAGGGAATTTCTGCCCATTTATCCAGAAGAGTGTGAGGTCAGACACTGATGTTGGACGAGAGGGCCTGGCTTGCAATCTCTGTTCTAGTTCATCCCAAAGGTGTTGGATGGGGTTGAGGTCAGGGCTCTGTGTGGGCCAGTCAAGTTCTTCCACAGCAAACTTACCTGTGGACCTTTATGGACCTTGCTTTGTGCACTGGGGCACCATCATGCTGGAACAGAAAACTGTTCATACAAAGTTGGAAGCATAGAATTGTCCAGAATGTCTTGGTATGCTGAAGCATTAAGATTTCCCTTCACATGAACTAAGGGGTCTAGGCCAACCCCAGAAAAACAACCCCATAGCATTATCCCTCCTCCACCAAACTTTACAGTTGGCACAATGCAGTCAGGCAGGTAATGTTCTCCTGGCATTCGCCAAACCCAGACTCGTCCATCAGACTGCCAGACAGAGAAGTGTGATTCATTACTCCACAGAATACGTTTCCACTGCTCCAGAGTGTAGTGGCTTTGTGCTTTACACCACTCCCTTCTTTGGCTTGTGTATAGCTGTTCGGCCATGAAGCTCCTTATGCACAGTTCTTTTGCTGATGTTGCTTCCAGAGGCAGTTTGGAACTTGTTAGTGAGTGATTCTACAGAGAATAGGCACTGTGTGCTTCAGCACTCACCAGCCCCACTCTGTGCGTTTGCGTGGTCTACTGCATTTGTGGCTAAGCTGTTGTTGCTCCTAAGTGCTTCCATTTCACAATAATAGCATTTACCGTTGACAAGGGCAGATCTAGCAGGACAGAAATTTTACAAACTGACTTGTGGCAGAGGTGGCATCCTATTACAGTGCTATGTTTAAAGTTACTGAGCTCCTCAGTACGACCCATTCTACAGCCAGTGTTTGTCGATCGAGACTGCAAGGCTATGTGCTTAATTTTATCCACCTGATAGCAATGGGTGTGGCTGAAACACCTGAACTCAGTTATTAGGAGGTGTATCCCGATACTGTTGACTATATAATATATTTTACAAACCCCAATTCAGAGAGGTTGGTTCAGTATATGAAATGCTAATAAAAACAGAAAGCAGTGATTCGTAAATTCTATTTGACCTGCGTTACATTGAAGATGATAAAGACAAAGACACAATTTTTGATATTTTACCTTATGAACATACAAAAAATAATGAAGTTCATGTAACAATGAATTATGACTATTGTTGGTGCATAAAAGCACAAAATTATTGGAAGTGAACATAAAATGTAAGATATGGGCACGTTTAAATCCAAACAATGGTTTCTTTGCGTATAAAGCAGACTGCTTGTCTTTACATTCACTGAAAAATATTCTTCATACTAGTGGTCTCTAAAATCTCCTGCACGTGTCATTATGACCATTTCTGTCATTAGCTCATAACTGGTAGATATATCATATGCAAAAGTGTGGGTGCCCCAGTGAAATAACACGTTTTGTTAAGTGAACACATCATCTACACTTCTGCACATTCTAATGTACAATTACTGTTTATTTGCTGATTTTAACAGATTGGAATAAAAATAAAATCTGGCAAAAAGATATGGCATATTTTATATGCTATGTTTTATATTTTCCTTTTTTAATTTATAAATTAATTAAAAATAGGTGCCAAAATATGCACAAAAATACCATATTTAAGTTTGTTTGCTGTAGAGAATGAGTTAGCTTGACAGTTACACAAGGCAGTTCAAAAACAAGTTGGATGCAACACATTGAATTACTCCACTAATTGTTCAACATGACCCTGTGATGTGCTATCAGTGTTTTGATTGGCTAAATCATAAAACATGTTTGTTAAAACACTCAAGTTAAAACACTTACAAGTGTTGCAGCTGAGTTTCGACTGAGTTGCACAGTGGTTTACATTATGCAACTCAGATACAATTTAGTTTCATGTGGGTGTCCAGCAACTAAAGTTGCATGAAAGTTTCACTGTGTAAAGCCAGCATAATAAGGGTCATAGATTTTTTAAAAAGTTATTTTTTTTAAATTACACTATGAATATATTGTTTTTTTTGAGTAGATTTCAGAAGTCTAATCTTAAGAAAAAATAGAAGTTCTGTCAACATATGTTTTCTTGGCTTGGGGGTGGGGAATTAAGGGCAAACACCTTTCACTCTAAAGGACCTGTTTTGGCCTTTTTTTTTTAAGAGGGGTGAAATTAAAGAAGATGAGGTCAGGATGGGTAAGTCTGATGGTCTTTCCTAGATTATTCTCTCCATCTCCTTCTTCTCGGCCCCCAGTGCTCTTCTCTCTCCCTCTGTCTCCCTCTATCCATCTCTCTCAGGGAGTCCAAAAGACATGCTGAGAGAGAGAGGGAGAGAGAGAGAGAGAGAGAGAGAGAGAGAGAGCTGACTCGTGCATCTAGAATCAATCAGATGTTTTTCTTCTCACTCATTCTGATTCGCTGTTGGCTCCGAGAAGCAAACGTAGGCTCTCTTTCTCCCTCCCTCCTCCCCTCTCTCTCTCTCTCTCTCTCTCTCTCTGCCTCTCTGCCTCACTCTCTCCCTCATTCATTCCGTCCAGTGCTCGAATCGCAGTGCCTCCTGCTTTCCTCTCCTCTCTTTTGCTCCCCCAGTGTTCCTCCTCCTCTCCTCCTCCTCTGTGCTCCGTTTCTCCTCCCGGCATCTCTGCATTTCAGTCTTCTTCATATCACTTGGAATGTGGCACTCTTTGGCTTTGACTCTGTTTGGAATCTCTGCTCTGGTTCAGGGTAGGTTTATGCACTCTCTCACTGTGTGTGTGTGTGTGTGTGTGTGTGTGTGTGAGGAGTGTAAGAGTGATAAAAGATGTAAAGAACACTCAGGAACAGTTTAGCTTTGCTCCACTGTATTTTCCTCTTTAGTTACTGTGCTGCTGGTAGACCTGTTTGCTTGTAGAGTGAGTGTAGAAAACTGCACCGCTTCTAGCTTTCAGACGAGGGGGAGATTTTCCCTATGTTGTAAAAGAGGGTGAGAGAGATGCAGAGAGAGAGAAGAGAGAGAGAAGCATGCTTTAGCAGTGAAGCTCTGAAAGCTGCAATCATAAATTTCACCCCCCCTCTGTTTTCTCCCCCTTTCTCTCTCTCCTGCTTTCATTCTCTCTCTCTCTCTCTCTCTCTCTCTCTCTCTCGCTTTCACTCTCTCTCTGTACTTTACTGCTTCTTGCTTTCATCCATCCATATCCATGAATAAAAACACAGTACAAGAGAGAGAAAGAGAGAGAGAGGGAGAGAAAGAGAATCACTGTCATCTGAGCACGGATCTGCTCTTCGATCCAGCAGCCTTGTTATGTTATTATGGACATGTTGCTGCAGTGGAGCCGAGAGCGCTTGCCTGTGAATGTGTGTGGTTGTGTGTACCATCTCTCTCCCTCTCTCTCTCTTACGCTCTCTCGCTCTCTCTCTTGAACTTTCACTGCAGCTGTCACCCTCCCACTGATTCATGTGTGCTCGTGCACTCTCATAATTCATACAGTCGTACAGCATCCTACTGCGATATGTGTCACATCACTGTCATCAGATATCCCGAACAATGATGATGATGATGTTTCTACACGCTGGGGTGCAGAAACACAAAACAGCAAATGCAGATAATCTTACCCAAACCTGATTTTTCTCATTCTACACTACAGTGCAGGGACATATTTGTCCCCTAACATACAAACAGTGTAAATGTACCCTCAAAGGTACAGTGTGGTTCTTAAGGCCCAGCTGTGTACCTTAAATGAATTTTAAAGGGCACATGTTCTACATTTTTCCTGTGCTTAATAACTTCCTTGAGCTCCTTTTATGACGTTTGTGTGGTTTTATGTACCAAAAATAATCATAATCAGGGATCAATTTGAAGGGGGGCTGGGGGAAACCCCCATAAGAGAGACAAAATTGAACTTGGTGAAGTCTAGTTTAATTTCCTTGAGTCAAATGTGAATTTTCCAGCAAAATGAATGGCCTCACACCAGATGACCATTTTCTTTTCTAAGTTTTCATCTTCGCAGCATAACCGTGCAGTCTGGAGCACTGAGCCGAATCACACCGGTTTAAAGCTTCTCAAACTGCTGAGAAACTTTATATGCCTATATATAGCCATGAAGACAGAAAATAAATACTGTTAGCAGTCATGCCATACACCAACTGATGTTTTTCATGTTTATAGCAAGGGGTTTGTTTTAGGCTGTTTGAAAATATATAGTGTTCACACTAGCCCAGGGATGCACAGCTCCAGTCTTTGAGGGCTGATGTCCAGCACAGTTTGGTGTTTTACCTACTCAAATACACCTGATTACACTTACCTGTTAATTGTTAGGTGTAGTGGGTGTGTTTTTGTAGGGAAACTGCCAAATTGAACACCGGCCCTCCAGGACCAGAGTTGTGCACCCAGTACTAGCCTATCACATCGTGCAATAACACGTTTTTACTACTTAAGCAATATATAAGTTTATTTAACTGAGAAAATGTAGGCTATTAGACCTTCTTGCTGTGTGCAGTTTGCATGTTCTCCCCACGTCTGTGTGTCAAAGACATGCAGTCAGGTCCATTGGAGATCCTAAATTGCCCCTAGATGTGAGTGGGTCTGTGTGTCTGTCCTGTCTGTGACTGTTGACCTATCCAGGATGTTTCTTGCCTTCTGCCCGATGAATACCGGGATAGGCCCCAGCCTATGGATGGATTTTCCAGCTCTCTGTGTGAAATGTTGTGACTCTATGTTGAGCTGCTAGCGAGCAGTGAGGGGTGAAAGGGGAGGGGCTGTGAAAACAGTTTACACCTCTCCACAAAGGCAGGGCGAGTCTATTTATATAGCACCTTTCGTTCACTGCGGTCATTCAAAGTGCTTTACAAATGATAAAGTACAGAGATAATTCAAATTATAATATAAAAAGTAATGTAAAGGAGAATGATTAAAGAACCTGCATTAAACTTGATTAAAACAACAGATTTTAAAAGAGAAGAAATGAATCACTGAAGTAAAATCAAATAAAAAATGAAATTAGGATCTAAAGTGCGGTTACAGGAGAAAAGTGCAGTAGAGCTAACAGCGTTTTAAACTGAGCTGAAAGCCTATTAAAAATAGGACAACCATGCTGAGATAAAACAGCCAGAAAATACAGTTTGTAGATCATGCATATTTCCATCATAATATATTCCATCAGCGTTTTTGATGAAACAAATGCACAGTTCAGCTGAGGAACCTCCTCCAAAACAGGTGGAAATGCCGTCTTACGGCTACAGTGTAAAGGGGTAAGCATAAACTCTCTACCTATTGTATTAATGTTCTTTGTATTTATTCTAATATTAGTGTTTTTCTGAGTGAATTAATGCTTACTGCTTAATTTAGCTGCGTTTTTAATTTAATTTTCACAGGTGCCTCAAGCTTAATGTCACAGAAAAGGAAAAGGAAAAGGAAGGAAAATTATTTCTGTTTGACGTTGACTTTAAGTTGCTGATTTATCTGTATTATCTTGAGATGGAGTCTGTGTGTCCTGTAAAACACTTTCAGCTGCTTCATTGTATGACATTATCATTGTGTTGTTCATTACTATTCATTATGTTATCATTATATAATAATAACAACACACCTGATGCCCTTAAACTGGGTGAGCCTGGTCTTTTTGCAAGACCTAACAAATGTATAGCTGCTGTATTTTCTACCTGGAGAGAAAATTGTTCTCCCTGAGTCATTATGATAAGCACCTGAAGAGGCTCAGAGCATCCAGAACATCCTTTATAGTGCTACAAGAATTATGCAACTGTGAACTGCATGTCAGACTTTTAAATCAAAAGTGTAACTTCAGGATAATGTGTTACATTAGGGTTACTTTTTACCTTTTTAATGAATTCACTGTCAGATCAGTTTGTCTGTTCTCTGTTTTGAGGATAGAAATTTATATGCACTTTTTTGCATTCAAACACATTTGATATATTCCCTTTGTAAGCAATCTGGTCCAGGCTTAGCTTTATTTTTACCAACAAGTGACACTATTTAATGGCTTTTACTGCTACTAAACAGATGTAACATAATCCTGAGCTAAAACAGTGCCAAAAAATGGAATCTTTTTGAGATTTGTTTTCAAGGAAGTGATTTAGAAAAAAGCCCCATCTCAGCAAGAATGCTGCTTAGTAATTAGAGAGATCTACAGTGCTGTGCAAAAGTCAGAGACCTCCATGTATTTATTTATTTTATAATACAAGTTATTAATTTTAAGGAGATATCCACTTGCATAAGAACGGAAGAAGTCAAAGAAAAAACAGGAGTTTCCAAAACTGGAGCTCAAAAAATGATTTAAAGAAAATAGATCTCCTAACTTCTAGGTTTTGGTAGACCACTAAACTGTCACCATCAGATAAACAGTGCTTCAAATTTTCATCTCTGAGAGAAAATCAAGCTCCATTCTTACTTCAGATCAGAAAAATCCTCAGGTGTTTTTGTTCATCCTTCCACTGTGAGAAGACAGCTCAACACTATGAGTCTGAAAGGATGTGTAGCTGTCAATAAGCTGTTACTGAGAAAAGAAAATAGACACAAAAGAAGAACATTTGCTAATCAAACAAAGAAGCTGCTGATGTTCTCAAAACAATGAACTGACCACCCTAGAGACCAGACCTCAACATCACTGAATGGGGTTGCTTGAATCATGAGAAGCAGAAAATGCAGCCAAATTCTAAGACTGAACTTTGGAGGAGTGGAGTAATATCCCTGCAGATTTCTTTGAAAACCTGAAAGCAAGTCTCCTGAAAAGAATGAAAGCTATAAAGGCCAAGAGTGGATGCACTGCATACTGGAAATGTTGACATTACGTTTAGTTGTTGATGCTGGAAAAAGTATAGCTTGCACTTAATAGCCATTTTGACTGGAAATAAAAAAGAAAACGAAGCGTAGTCTCTGACCTTTTGCACAGTACTTTATGCAACTGGAAAAATTCCACTCCTTTTGAGAGTACAGATGAAGGATTTCTATGAAAGATGGTCAGTGCTTAGAGAAAGGAAAAAGGTTAAGTCATGTTTAATTGAACTGGGGCTAAAAGATTGGACTGAAACAAGGAATGTAGCACGATGATGAAATCTGTGAAACCGCAGCCCATAATTATTCCTTTCTTTTATAGCTTTTATTTAGTTTAATATATATATATATATATATATATATATATATATTATTTAGCAGTATTTACTCAGTATTACACTCTTTGCCTTTGTTACAGCCTCAGTTTTTCAAAGAAATCTGCAGGGATATTTTTTCACTCGAAGTCGAAGTTGGTTGCATTTTCTGCTTCTCATGATCCAAATAATCCCAAACACATTCAGTGATGTTGAGGTCTGGACTCTCGAGTGGTCAGTCCATTGTTCTGAGAACACCAGTAGCTTCTTTGTTTCATTTGAACATTTTCTTGTATTTTTCTGTTTCCTTTTCTCAGTAACAGCTGTTTAACAGCTACACATCCTTTCAGACTTATAGTGTTGAATTGTCTTCTCACAGTGGAAGGATGGACAGAAACATCTCAGAAATATCTCCTGAAAAATGAACTACTTGTACTTAATGGCTGTTTTAACTAGAAATGAAAAGTGTGACCTCACAGTACTGCACAGTACTGTATATTTAATCTGTGGAAATGTCTGAATTGTAAAGGTGTAAAACAGAAAAAAACAACCAACAGTGTTGTTGGACTTTCAAACTGAAAATTTGTCAACACTAAATGCATGAATTGTGTTGTCTTTAAATAGCTTTTTTATATAAAATGGGCAAAAATGAACAAAAGAGCATTTCAGTGAATGAAAACTGTTTACATTGAGCCAAAAAGAATTTCATTCCAATGAAACTGAAATAAATTGCACTGAAATATTTCCATTTTGTTCAATCAGCAATTGAATTTAATGTTGAGGTGGCAAAGTCTGTAGATAATGATTCTACTCTATTTGACCGAGTGGAAATATGTGGCATAATTGAATTAATTTAATAAAACAAGTTATGTTCTTGAGAGTACTTTAAGTCAAATCTCTGAAAAAAGCTGAAACAGAGTTCAGTTCCCCATTTGAAACCTATTAGCATTCGGTAAATACCACACGGCTACCCTCTCATTTTGCTCGTATTTACATGTTGATAAACAGCAAACATGCCTCTTTTTTCACACCAGAGCCGGGGGCGCGTAACCTCTATAAAGGATGTGATTAATGTTTTACTCAAATCTGCTGCGCGCCTCGAGAATTCACAGCAGCAAACCAGTGCTCCCGTTCAGCATTTAGTTCAATCAATGAAGGATGAAAGATGCATACGGGTGTCACACATTACAGCTTCTTGCGTTTCCTTCACCTGTCGCTTCATGCTGTTTGAAGACGTGCCCCTTTAAAATCGATAGGGGATCAGGGTCGTTAGCGTTTTTAAATGGGCGATGTTCACAGGAGCTGATCTCGGGTCGGTGCGACGGCAGAACACGCTTAATACTCATCTCACATTCTCCTCCCTGCTCTCTTCCTCTTTTATCTGCTTCCTGCTCTTTGACTCCGTGTTCACTCCTCACTTGTCTGTTGTAAATGTATAATATGTGGGTTTTTTAACTATTGATTGATATTCTTGGCCATTTTTGTGTTTGAAAAAGTCTTCACCTTAGAAAGAAGGAATCTTGGGTAAATCTGACTTACAGCTGGTCAGCGTTGCTATGGGCAGTTACACAGATTTTTCTGTCTGCCTGTTTAGCCTGTTTCTGTCTATCCTTCCACTGTGAAGACAAAACAAAGGCTCTGTAAGGATGTGTAAAGATGTGTATGTGGAAAGAGACCAAAAATAGGAAGCCTTGGAGTTCTCAGAGAAATGGACTGACCACACATCTCTGAATGTGTTTAGGATTAATTGGATCATGAGAAGCAGAAAATGCAACCAACTTCTAAGACTGCACTTTGGAGGTGTGGAAAGATATCCCTGCAGATTTCTTTGAGAAGCTAAAAGCAAGTCTTCTAAAAAGAGCAGAAGCTGTAATAAAGTAAAGTGTAAACTTAGTGGATACTGAAAAAAATGATATTTTCTTGTTGAGGCTTCTGCTAAAAATATGTTTTCCGCTTTTTTTTCCTGATGCTGAAAAGTGTTGACTTGTGCTTACCGGCCGTTTTGACTCAAATTTCTTAATAATGGTGGTGATAGGAACCAGGGGTTCTACAACACAAATGTAGCCATTTTATTCACTGCACAAAATGACCAGCGAACCTACACAAGCCTTTAGTTTTATATGGAATGTTGTCAATGGTAAAATAGTGGAGAACCAAAAATACATTTTCTTTGGGGACTGTTTTGCCTTAGAACATCCTCTCTGACATTAATTTTATTTATAAAACTTTTAGGTCAAAACCTTTAAAATTATCGTAAAACAATGTTGTGTAACATCTTTCTGTGATGTAGCTTTTCGAGGCATTAAACTCTTCAGATGTCTGGTTCCTATCAGTACTGTGAACAAGTTTCTCTGGAACAAAGCATTTCACATCAAACCTCTCTACAGAACTCTGTGTACATCTTAAGCCTTATATTATGCTGAAAGTTTGGAAAAAGTGTGGAATTCCCCTTTAAAAGTCACTGAAAGGACTTTCCTTAATTAAGTTAGGGTCGACTGGTGTTGCACAAATGGCCTTTGGCACAGCTTGTAACACTGAGCTTATTCAAACACCAGCTGAATCATCATGCATGGTTTTACCTCCTCTATTCTCCTCTAATCCTCTCTGTACATACCTCCATGGTTAATGCCTGCTTAAAAGATTTTAACTCCCTTGTTTTTAAAACCCATTCCATTAGTTTGAATGTTGATATGATGTGTAATTAATTGGTATTTGGATGACTGATTAGCATCTCTTAGATAGATGCAGAATAAAGCTAACTCTCTCTCTCTCTCTCTCTCTCTCTCTCTCTCTCTCTCTCTCTCTCTCTCTCTCTCTCAGTGTCGGTGCAGGGCCCTCACCAGAGGGCTCTGTTGAAAAACCTGCTGAAGGACTATAACCGTATGGAGCGGCCCGTTGCCAATGACTCTCAGCCTCTCACGGTCGTTCTCTCTCTCAGCTTGGTGCAGATCATGGATGTGGTGAGTCTTCACACTTCTATTTTTCCACCTTTTCATTTGCATTTCCTCCTTCTTCATCTTACAGCTTTAACATGTTTGGATGCTGTGTTTTTGTAAATAAGTATCAGCTTTTCACTCCCCATTCCGTAGGTCCATATGTGGAAACTGTGCTGCAAAAACAGCCTGTTTTGAACTTGCTGTTTTTGTGATATCACAAAAAACGAGTGTTCTTACCTGTATCCACATGTTCAGCCTAATTTAGCGTTGTACATTTATAAAGTTGTGACGTTATAAGAGATGGTTCAGAGAATGGCCTTGACAATTGATAAACTACCTGTATTAAAATTATATATTATACATGTTGCAGTGAAGTTAACTTAAGTGACTGTAAAGACACAAATTCTACTACAAATGAAATCTATTTTAAATGTATAGTTTTGGGTGGGCCTATAACCCAAACTATACCCATATTTCATTGCTAGTAAGGGGGTTAAACCAGTGGGGCTGAACCAGACTGATTGTCGGTTTTGCTCAGCATAGCCACTGGAGCCTATTGCATGTCTTTACTATTAAATCAAAAATGTAAATGTTTGAAACTAGGTTGACAGTGGCTTTAAAATGTACTTCTAAATAATACCCTTAAATTGATGCCAATTGCATATACTTTTGTTTAAGTATGCTTTAGAATGTTAAGAAACGCTTAATCGTACGGCATACTAAAGTATAATTTAGAATGCGTTACGTTAAAAATATACTTTTTGAAAATTACAGAAAAGTGTATTTTATGTGTATTTCTATACAATACATTGAATAAAAAAATACATTTTTCTATTTATTTTTAGTATACTATGGATGTAACTGCTGTATTGAATGTATAGTGCTTAAATATCCTTCCTTTTTGTAAGGGGAGTACACAAACCACAAGGTTAAAAATGTTTATTTTTTTTAGTTTATTTCCCCCAAGACAAACAATTGATATTAATGTGTTTTTAGTTCAGCACAGTGCTTAAAATCTGCATGAAGACTCAGCCAGGTTAACAGGTTGCAACAGTAAGCCACAAGCAAACATTCAGGCGAGTGCACTATGGAGGTGGAAGGACAAGAATATCAATGTCTATTTTTATTTCACATGTGCCCCCTCAGACCAAATACACAGCACTGAGCAGAAGTCATCTGAGAAATGATAAAGAGCCATTATGTTGTAAGCTTTTATTTATTCAGAAAAACACCAGCATCAGAATAAATAAACATTACAAATAAAAATCACAAATAAACAATCCGCTGTGATTTGTGAATTCTGATTTTGTACTCAGTTTCCCCTTGTGAAGCAGAAGCATACTTAAGTACATCAATAGTACACTTGAAGTATATGGAGAATACTAAAAGTACATTTTTGTTTTACGTATTTTATGGAAATGCACTTATATGTTTTTATAGTTTAAGAAAATGTATATTTTCAAAGTAGCACATTTTAAATTATGTTGTAGTGCAAGGAAACACACTTAAATAAATGCATTTCTTGACATACTGAAACATAACAGAAGAATAATTAACTGTCATCAACTTAAGTGAATTATTTAGGAAGTATATTTCACAGCAGTCACTTTTAAAGTATACTTCAGTACATTTTAGTTGCAATATAACTCAAATGAACTAGCAATCAAATATGGAAATTGGTACACTCAGGAGTATACATTTAAGACGTGTTTTAAGTGTAGTAGAGTTTGTGTCTCAAAACCTGCTTAAGTTAACTTCAGTGCAACATAAGTTGTTCCAGTTTAGAACAGAAAAGCACTTTTAGGTGCTACAGATATATTTCAGCATTGCTTATATAATAATTAAAGTAAGTTGTGTTTAGTTATTTCAAAATAGCATGTTTAAGTGTATACTTTATGTGTCAAAAAGTACACTTAAATACATTTTATTTTTTGGAATGTATTTAAATTATTCAGTAAGTTTGAAATATAATTAAAATACCTTTAAAAACATTTTAGTTGCAGTATTTACTCAGTAAGTAGCACTGAAGTGTACGGAGCCCTGCTAGTGACATCCCATATAAATAAAAACAATGCATGGCCACAACTTAATTATCTTGTTCCCATGCCTTACTAAGTTGTGGCCACGCCTTATTTTTATTTACACAGGAAGTGACCAGCGGGGCTCCATAGAAGTGTATCGGTACATCCAGTGGTATATTTATAATACATTCCAACAGTTATATCTACAAATTACATACTTATATGTAAAACTTAAATTGTTAATTCTCAAAAAAACACTCAGAGGCACAATGAAATGCATTTAATATACATTTGAGCATAGCTTAAATGCAATTTAAATACACTTAAGGTGTCATAAGTTGTTCCAAAATAATAAGTATATATTAAAGTACTTATAAAGTGTAAAAAAAAAAGTAAAAAGAATATGTACTTTTCATAGTTAAAGCACTTGGCCAAGATAAATTGTTTTTATCAACTTTCTTTGCTCCCAAGATGTTTGCACAGTGCTGCACTTTCCACTCTGGTTCTCCAGCCCTTCCACGGGGTGGCAACAATCATAAGAAGTGCATTTCTGTCACCTTTGTTCATTTAAAGTATGAACACAGACAAAAACATCCAACACATAAAGGACAATTTTGTCAATTGCAATGAAATAAATAAATAAATAGGCCACGTTTACTCTGCCTTTCTGGCGTTATGACAGTTTTAGGGTGACAGTGTTTAACTTTGTCAGCTTGCGTATTGCTCCAGCTCCCTCTCTCATTACCCTGACATCTCTCTTTGTTTTCACTTGTTACGTGGCTGTGATCTTTTGTTTCGCCTCCTTCTCTAACCTCGAATCACAGGCAGAATTTGACTCTTATTGTTTTGTGTCACTCTTTTTCTTGCCTGGTCTAAAATGATTTTTCTCTCACTGTACAGTTTATCTTAGATGTTTTTACTTTGATCCCTGAATGTTTCTTCTGTCAGTGATGGTGGTCTTCTGTGCTAGTCTTTTTGTTTTTTATTACACTGTCTGTGACATTGACCTTGAGTGCTCTCAGAGCATTGTACTTGGTTTTCTGAAAATTGCTCCAATTTGACTGAAGTGTTGTTTTTTTCTTCGGCTTTTCTTCCTGGACTTTGACTGTTTGCTTTTCTGTGGCTTCGACAATGCTGAGCCTGGATATGTCCATTGATTTCCTGCAATGTGTGAAACTGTCTGCCTGCCTGGTTTTTGCTGTCAGTCATTATATGTCTATAGTAATTTTGGACATTAGACAGATGTTGGGTTACGCTGTGTATCCTTGTTGTGAAGGTGTGTCTGGAATGAAAGTACATCATTCTATCTCTCTCTCTATTTTTCAGGATGAGAAGAATCAGGTTCTCACCACCAACATTTGGCTGAACATGGTAAGCCTAAGCTTTGACCTTAATGTTTACACCTTATGCATGTGTGAATTACATTATTCTAGAGAAACTTAGAGTTGTTCACATTGGTGGTGATAGGAACCTGACATCTGAAGAGTTTAATGCTTCTAAAAGCTCCCTCAGAGAAAGTTATTACATGAAATGGTCAAGAATATACTGCCTGATGGCTGAGACATTGTTTTAGGTTAGTTTTGAGGTAAGAGTTTGTCCTAAAACCCTTTAAATGTATGTTAAAGGGGTACATGCAGGGCATTGTAAGGCAAAATGAAGAGTTCATTTGCAAAAAACGATAAGCACCATTCTTTAAAAAAACGAGCTGACGGTCGTGAGTTATTCTTAACATACAGCACATTCTGAACCCTGAATACATTCTGTCACAAAAGCCATTATTGTCCATTGTTGAGGCATTGCAAGTTCTTGTTTTATGGCAGAAACAGTCAAACGTCAGCGCTGTTCTTAAGCAGAACCCAATAAATCTTGTCAGTGAATCAGTGTGCAGTATTTGGGTCAGGTGACTCAACACTGCTGCGAGCTGTTTTAGGCAAAAACTCAATTGGCTTCCTTCTCCCTACAAAGTGCAGTACGTAGGTCTGAAATAAACAGCTGAACCGGACATAAAGTGCAAAATTTTATATATATATATATATATGTATAAGTGTGTATGTGTATATATGTCTATATCTATATGTGTGTGTGTGTGTGTGTGTATATATATATATATATATATATATATATATATATATATATATATATATTTATCAGTAGTTCAGACTTCGCATAATGGTGACGAATGTGGCTCTATAGCCTTAACGGATTCTGAACATTGTCATAATAGGCTGTATTATGAACGTAGTGATTTTATTCTGTAATAATAGGTTTAGGTAAGTGTTAAACTTCCTGTATATATATTTTTGGGGTTAGGAGGCAGTACAGTATTATTGGCAGGTGGACATTGTTGAGATAACACAGAGGGGTATATGAGTGGGTTACTAATCAGCGTGGTGCCCAGTTGAATGATGAAGAGCACTGAATGCCCTAGTAAAAATGTTTTATTGGACGATTAGCGTTCCTGTTCAGATATTCCAATATTATTAATGACAAAATAGCCTCATAGGTTTTTACCTTTCTAATGCAGAAATTTTGGTTTAATAACCATTTTACAGCATTTGTTGAATTCTATTTCTTAGGTTTTTATCATATTGACTTTAATTTTTTTGTCATTCGTTCATTTACTGTGCAAAAGTCAGAGACCACTCTTCATTGATTTAATTTCCAGTCAAAAACAACTAAATATAATATCTTTTTGCAGTATTTAGTGTGTCCACCCTTTGTCTTCATTACAGCTTCATTACTATTCTTTTAGGGAGACTTGCTTTTAGTTTTTCAAATAAATCTGCTGGGATATTTTTCCACTCCAAAGTTCAGTCTCAGAAGTTGGTTGCATTTTCTGCTTCTTACAATACAAGTAATCCCAAAAAACATTCAGTGATGTTGAGGTCTGGACTATGTGGTGGACTGTGAAATGTTTTCACAGTGGAAGGATGGAAAGAAACACCTGTGATTTTTTTCAGATCTGAAGTAAGAGTGGAGCTTGATTTTGTCCTCTCTCTCAAAGACGAAAGTACTGTTTAATTGATGGTGACAGTTTGGTGGTCTAAGCGCTCTTGCATGGTTGTTAGGAGTCTCTTTTTTTCTATATATTTCAATTATTTTTTGAACTACAGTTTTGGAAACCCCTGCGGTTGACATGCCATTTTAATTGGAAATTAATTAAATGAAGTGTGGTATCTGACTTTTGCAAAGTACTGTGTCTTTTAAATAGTAGTTTTTAAATAGTAAATTGTTGATCTACTGTGCATATAGTGTTTCCAGTTCTTAAATCAAATCAGGTGAATAGATGAACCTTATCATGTGCAATTAGCCTTTGTAGTTCTCATGCAAATGTTTCTAACAAAGCTACTGTCAGTTTGCCAGTCGATTTTATGTTTGGCAAAGTGCCAGTCATGTTTTGCAGGAAGTGTTAATGGCACTAAATGAATATAAATATCAGTTATAGTAAGCTTTCCTTGTAATTTGCAGCTTTTGTTTTTCTCTCTTTGTTTTTCTTTGGAATCAGTTTTTAGCATAACTAGCATGTCTGTCTGTGGTTGCAGCGGTGGTATGACCACTATCTACAGTGGAACCAATCAGAATATCCAGGAGTGAAGAACCTTAGATTCACCACCGACCAGATCTGGACACCAGACATCCTCCTCTATAACAGGTAACAAATGCACACACAAAAATCTCTAAGGAGGAATATACACCCACATGATTTCAGGATAACATTCCTCAAATTATTATTTACATCAGTTTATTATAAGTGGAGCTGGAATTCTTTGGAAGCTGGTTGTATTATAGTCCCTGTTTTCACACAATTACAGTATATTCCATGATTACAGCTAACCTTACTCCTGCAAGGGGAAATTAATGAAAGCTGTAAAGTTACTCAAGACCCTTTTGGTTGCAGCATCGCTAATGACGCACAGTCATTTAGATCTCTGACTGTAAAGAATGCTGAAAACGGGAGTGTAGCTGTGTGTGGACTGCAGTGTCTCAGCGCTAATGCAAACTGCAAAGCTAAACAGATGAACAGCCACAGATCAATGGGCCACAAATTTCGCCTTTGGGTAATACAGTTGTAGTGAAAACCATGGCTGTTCGGAAGTCGATTAACTGACTTTGCACTGGAGCTTCTCTTTTTTATCTTTTTGTTGAAAGATTCTGTGCATTCTGGGAGGGTTGAGAAATGGGAACAGTTGAATGAGAAAGTTCAGAGTTCAAAGTCTGCGGTGGGCAGAAAAATGACCAAGATCAGTCTTTTCAATGTGGTGAATGAACACAATAAACCAGCAGCTGTCAATATCCACGAGGGCACACAATGCTTTCAGAATTATTGACACCTTCGATAAAGATGAGCAGAAAAAGCTATAATAAAAGCAATGACAAAAGTTAAAGAAAAGAATACAATAAACCAACAACTCTCATAATCTATAAGGACATGCAGTGTCCCCTAAAATTTGTTTAAGATGAGAAAAAAAGCCATTGGAAAAACAAAGTGCTTTTGAGTGAAACGTTTAATTTTTGTATGTTTTTTCTTTTAGTATTTTTTTGCATAAATGAGGTCTCTGTTCCTGAAGGGCACTGTATAGAAATTTTACTGCCAGTACTACAGCACTGCCAAAACTGTAATGTCTTCCTCATTGCTACAGTTGATTAGATTAGACTTAAGACTTAAAAACACTCAAACATTTTTTCCTCTGAAAATGTACTTATAATACAAACCTCAGTTTCAACAAAGTTGGGACAGTATGTAAGATGCAATGATTTGTAAATCCACTTTTACCTGTGTTTAAATCATTTTTACCTTATTAAACATTTTTTATCTATTTTACCTCATCTACTACATTGTTTCTGTAAGTGTGCTCTCATTCTGAAATTGATGCTTGCAACATGTTCCAGAAAACAATTTAAGAATAGGAACGTTGTGAATTTGGTCAAAAAACATCTTAAACAGGTGGTACAATCATGCTTGGGTATAAAGGAACATCTAGGAAAGGCCTAGTCTTTTATGAGCAAGGATGTTTTGAGGCTCACCACTTCTGGCAAAAAATGCATCAACAGTTAAAGAACAACGTTCCTCAGTGAACGATTGTTTTCTATGTTTTTCACCGTTATCATTACACACCATTCATTGCTGCATGTTTAGACTGTACTAAGCACAGCGGAACCCGTGTGTCAGCAAGACCCAGAAATGCCTCCAACTTCTCTGGGCTCAAGCTCATCTGAATTGGACTGATGCTCAGTGGAAACATGCACTGTAGTGTAATAAGTCAACCTTTCAGATTGTTATTGGAAGTCATGGTCTGTGGGCCAAAGGACCATCCAGAATGTTACTAGTGTAAAGTTCCAAGGCCAGATTATGGTATGGGGGTGTAATAGTGTCCATGACATGGATAGCTTGCATATCTGTGAAGCCAATACTAATGCTAAAGGACTGTTCCAACTTTGGAACTGAGGGTTAGTGCATTTGCTTCAGTACCTGCTCATTGGTTTCTGTTATAAATGCCTTTTAAGTCAGGTACAGGACATGTTGAAATTATTGTCTGTCATAACTGAGTAAATGTAGATGGAGCAGACTTTAAAAACACTGGCATATTTCTGTATTTGACAGAGAGTAAGTTTGGCAGTGCTGCTGTTGTACTAATGGCTCTATTGCTGTAACAACTAGCACGTATTTTCTCACAAATTAGACACAGAATTTGATCTAACCTTTGCCACTCTGCTTGGAATGTTTATCCATCAGACTCTGTGTTCTCTCTTTTCTCACAGTGCTGATGACGAGTTTGACTCCACCTTTAAGACAAACGTACTAGTGAACTCCAGTGGCTACTGCAGCTACCTGCCTCCAGGTCAGTTCACGTCTACTGTGTGCAAGTGCAAACATACTGAAGCCATAGACTGTAAGGCAGCACAATACATAGTTTGTTAATTGTTATCGCAGTCTTGGCCTTTGTTACAGTTGGCTACAATATGAAAATGAGCCCACTAACCAACAGGTATCTCTTATTGTGTGATCTGACCAAACTGACCAATTACAGATTTTCACAGATGAGTTTCTATGGGTTTTTGTTGGAAGAATCAAGATAGTCAATAAATATTAAATAATTTTAGGCAAAGGTTTTCACTATTGTGTTTTTAAAATATTGTAAGTTATATTAGGAGGTGTGTAGAGTAGCTTAAACTCAGGCTCCAGTAAAAGTATTGTTACTTCTGTGTAATAATGATTTAAGTAAAAGTAAAACTGCATTTCCAAAAAACAAGTAGAAGTAAAAGTACAAAATCATCAGGCCAAAACGCTACCAATAGAATGTTTCTTATAGAACTACAGGAGAACTTCTTAGTACCTCCAGCATCTACTAGCATAGGAACCAAAGTTTGTATGGCACCATTATTTAGTTTTGGTGCAGGAGAAAGAAAAAACAAACTTCATTTTCAATCTAAGTCAATGTAATCAGACTTTTTTTCCAGGTAATTTTGTGCCATTTCTTTTGGTCCATTCATCATGATCACAATATGTAGCAGTCGCCAAAATGAAACGTTGTGCAGCCCTAATAGATAGTGTGGTAAAGTTCTCTAAGGACAGATTCAGAGATCTGAGCACTTAAACATCTGCAGCATTTATGGTGTATAAAATAAAGATGTTGAGATGATCCATTGGGCATAAATTACTGATATCTCCATTGCATAAGATACAGTGGCAGAGATAGGGACAAATTAAATATTACTGTAATGCATAAAGACGCAGTGTGGAAGTTAGACATCTGTAGTTTGGTGGAAATCTGAGCCTTTATGCAGGGCAACTGTGGTGCTTACATGCAAACTGAAGAGTATTTATAAAGAAGTGTTTATGTAATTCCTGCACAGTGTGCAGTGTGTTAGGAGCAGTTCAGATTGCAGAAAGCTGAGATTCATAAACATCAGTGTTTTATTGAGTGTGTTTTTCAGAGTTTCTTTCTTTATCGAGCCTGTGGTTTGTAGATCTATTGATGGATGCTGCAGCGTTATGTGTGTCTACAGTTAAATACAGAAAGTAAATCAATAGAAAATACACAGCTAGCTTTGTGTTTAAGAGCTGAACTGGCGTTGTATTTTAAAAGCAACAAATACCCATACATTGTGCACAATATATATTTGATTATTATTCAAGTTTATGCTAAAGCTTACTGCAGGGTTTAATTATGGGATTGTGACATGTAAAGAGCAAAGATGAGCTTAATGATCTAAACCAAACAGGGATTAAAAATGTGTGAAACATCTATTGGTGCATTGAAATTCATATTCCACACCTACTGAAGCAAAAACAGTAGTTGCTCTAGGCACCCACAGTCCAGCATCACATCATTAAAAAGCAAACCAGCTTAAAATAAACTCTCTCTCTCTCCTTCTCTCTCACTCACTCACTCACACACTCACACAACACACACATAGTTCAATACTGAAAAGCAAAGGATCTTTAAATAAACTCATGAACGCACACACAACCAACTCAGCATTGCAAGTAAAACATCTTTAAATAAACTCACACAGCCCCTCAGTCACACATGCTCAGACACACATGCTCACTAGATTGAGGAAATCTTCACTATCGCTTGTTTTGAAGCTCAAATGGATTTTATTATTTTTTTTGGAGCTTTATGCCTCTCATTCATATGAAAGGCCACAACCATGCAGACCCTCAGTGCCAAGCAAATCAAATGCCCTTTTGAAGTGAAGTCAAAGACCCATGGCAGACACACACACACACACACACACACACACATGTATGTATACACACATTTTGATGTACAATTACTGTTTATTTGCTGAATGTAAAATATTAGAAAAAAATAAAACATAAATTGTAGCATAACCCTATCAAAACTTTACCAAATGTTTCACTAGTGACAGTTTTAGCTCTTTTTGAGAATAATTCAAAAACGCTACCCTGTACATGACTAGAAAATGCAGCTTTGAACAGTTGTACACACATAAAATCAGAATATTTTTCATTAAAACACAAAAAAGTTTTCTTAATTCCAGGAAATGTGTTTCAGTAGTGACAGTTTGTAATGTTACACGCTTTTCAGACTTTGGGACATATTTACTTCCAAACAATGAAATCCAACTGCTCACCATATGGCCATGAGCAAAATGATGCAGTCTCACTTCATGCTTTAAACTGCAAGGGTGTAGCTAAAATAAGGCTCCGCCTCTGGACTAAAGTTCTTGTGTTTTGATAATGACATGAAAACGTGTGGCAATATTTTTGATTTAAAGATTTTAAAAAGATTTTATTTAAGAATTAAAGAGAAATCTGTATCTGAAAAAAATTAAAACCACTTTAAAAATTCAACAAGATATTTCTACAAACAACATTGCAAAAAAATGTAAAAATGTAAGTATTAATTTTACAAGTTATAATTTTGATGTTAGGCTTTTGGACAGCCACTTCTCAATAGAACATTCCCTATAAATGATGATTTTGTATATATTTAGCTTTTTGTCATCTCTATTTATGTCTTGGGTTTATATAGATCATTATATAATACTTGAAAATATATAAGAAACATCTCATGTTTGAATACCTAATTATATTTTAATAGTCCTTTCCTGTATGACCTGTCTACCTTTACAATAGCTGTGTATGTAACAAAATAAAGTGTAACATTAAAATGATTTTAACCAACCTTTTTCCATTTTGTCAAGAGCTTTGAGCACTGCAGTCTGTGTTAAAAGAAATGTCTCTTTGAATTAATACATTATAGAAATATTTTATTTAGTAGGAATGACAGTCAGCTGTACTTACACTGACTGGGCACTTCATTAAGTACATCTCCCTGTTTCTACACTATTTGTCCTTTTTATTAGGCTGATTTATCATACAGGTGCACTTTGCACTCTACAATTACAGACTGTAGTCCACCTGTTTCTCTGCATACTTTGTTGGCCCCCTTTTACCCTCTTCTTCAATGGCCAGGACCCCCACAGGACCACCACAGAGCAGGTTTCTTTTGGGTGGTGGATCATTCTCAACACTACAGTGTTGTTGGAGTTTTTAAACACTGTGTCCACTCGCTGTCCAGTTTATTAGACACTCCTACCTTGTTGGTCCACCTTGTAGATGTAAAGTCAGAGAAAGTAGATCTGTAACTACACAGTTTGTGTCTTCCTCTAATCCTTCATCAGTGGTCACAGGACTCTGATGGCTGGATGTTTTTGGTTTGTGGACTATTCTCAGTCCAGCAGCGGCATTGAGGTGCTTAAACACTCCAGCAGCACTGCTGTGTCTGATCTACTCGTACCAGTGCAACACACACAAACACATCACCACAACGTCAGTGCCACTGAAGTGCTGAGATTATCCACCACCCAAATAATGCCTGCTCTGTGGTGGTCCTGACCATTGAAGGGTAAAAGGGGGCTAACAAAGTATGCAGAGAAACAGAGAGACTCTGTAATTGTAGAACTGCAGTGGACAATGAGTATATATATATATATATATAAAGTATATATGTAATATGTATATATGTAAAACTTAACAAATTTTAAAACAAAAATACTGTTTATTTGCTGAATTTAAAATATTAGAATACGTGTGTGTGTGTGTGAGAGACCAGGAGATGGAGAGAGAGAAGAATCCTCTTATGCTTAATTCAGCCTTCATGTTTATTCATTAAGGGGGGAGGGGTATAAACAAAGTTTTTCCTAATGCGATGATCTGGTCTGGTGCCAAAGACTGACTCTCTCTCTCTTGCTCAGATCCAAAATTAGGGCTGCTTCTTTATATTTATTTATTTATAATTTATTCTATAACAAGTTTATGGGCTGTTGGGCTGAACACACACTGTGTTTGATCCCGAATCCGCATTTGGTAGTTTTTTATATCAGCTAATGTGATCAGATGCAGCAAGGTCAGGCACTCTGAATGTTTTTAACTCTGATCTTGGTCTTAGTCTGCATCTTTTTTTATTGTACAGCAGCCATCATCATCATCATCAGCCACATCACCCCCTTCTGCCTATAGATGCTTCTCTGTCCAAACGAAGAAGAATAGCCTGCTGACAGTGAACATGCCAGGATGCCTGGTTTTATTTCATTTTATCGTATTTTATGTGTATTTCTTTTATATACAGCCTGCGTGAGTGCTTCACACTTGCATGGATTGATATCTCTATGGCTTTGTTTTTGTTTTTTAATGTTTTATTTTTGTTGTTGTTTTTGAACTGCTCAGACAAATGAAAGTTTTCTTATATTTGCAATGCGTAGTTGCACACTTTGCGTCATCTTAGCTTTTTATTTCTTCTCTCTGGCGATGTAGCCTACTTAGTCTGTCTTGAAGGTGGCAGGAACAAAAAATATATGTTCTAGTGACAGATACCTCAGTATTAGAGATCAGAGACATTCTGTAAAACACTGTGTCCTCTGTGTTTCATCAGGGGCCGTTTTTTTCCCTCCACTATGCTGCCGTTCTGCTCTCTCACACAGCTGCTTTTCTCTTTGCCCTCATGCCTGCCCGCCCACTCCAGCTGCTTCCCCCTGGAGGAATCCATTTGGGCTGAGAGCGCAGCGGTGCTACTAGCTTGCTAGCTTTTGTCATTGATTAGGCTCTGATTTTGAGACACACGGTTTCCCCAAGGGCGGAATCAATCGCTAGCTGCAAAAATTCCACAAAATGTAGACGGGCTTTGCGGCTTTGCGGCTCTGAGGCTTTGAGGCTCGGCAGGGAACAACTGTGGCTAAATCTTGAAGTATTGATTGGGATCAAAAAAGCCTTTTCTACATGTTAAGAAAGCCCTAATTGCACCAGGATGAGGGACATGCTGTGTGCCAATCTGAAAGCAGAGGAGCCTGAACAGAGCTAGAGAGAGGG